ATTCTTTATTCATTTTTTGATCAAGTGTTTGTGTTTGTGGAATAGGGAATAAAAATGGAAGCTTTTTGATTGTGGGTTTTGCAAATACTCCCACCATTGTTGGCTGTAATTTCAAGCCCTAATAGCCTTATTCCTATATGGGTCTATACTTTTCCCTAAGTTGCATTTATTCTAATCTTTTTTTGAAAAATAATTGTGGAAAAGAATCCAAATTGGTCAAAAGGGGGAACACAGAGTGACAATTATTTTGTCATCTATAAAAACTTGTGTTTTGGGTTTTTAGGGTTTTCTTTTCTATCCTCCTTTCACTAGGGTTTGGATTCCTTCAAACAAATTCTTTTAATGCTTACCCTTGGATTCTATTTATTTGTTGATCTCTTATTCTTTCTTTATTTTTTTTTTTGAGAAAGAAAAAAAAAATACAAATATATGAAACTTGTGGTGTAGGATTTTAGGCCTCTTGAATGAAATGGTTCTTTTTTTTTTTTTTAATATTTGAATGATAGATTGAGAAAAAAATATATAGGCAATTAAAAATAGATATGATATATCTTCAAAACGAGTATCATTGAAATATATGTCAATTATCATTGAGTTATGCTCATATTGCTATCTAAATTGATTTTACTTTTTTAACATTTATTATAAATAGACAATAGAGGGTAAGATGTCGGTTTGATAGTATATATATTCATATATGTTTTTCCTTTGTTAAAGATGTTGATTAAATTTTGTTACATGTGCCCCTCTTTTTTGGGGTGGGGTATACCAAAAAGATAGCTCACTTGTATATATATGCATATATAATGCATGGGAGAGGTAGAAAATGTGCAATAAAATAGGTAGATATTTATTATCTATAATGTCCATTTTTTTTTAGTACAAAACACCGATTTTTTTTAGTACAACATGTTGGAAGGGGATTCGAACTCACAATCTCTTGATGTAAGATGTATATCAATTACAGTTTAAGAGCTATACTCGTTTTGGTGAAAATAAAGACAATTGAATTTGAAATTTCTTGATTTTTTTTTCCATCTCCCAAATAAGGCAAGTGCATGAGCTTTTGTCACACCACACCTCTTGTCCTTCTATTTTGTTGCACCCAAACTTGTTAGGTCATTTCTTTTTTGTCTCTTTAATCCTTGAATTTCTAATCTCTCTTTTGATTAATTTCTTTTCCTCAATAATTAGGGTAATTTAGATTCTATCTTTGACTATGAGAGACCTTCAAACATACCTATCGTTTTTATATACAATTGAACTTTTTTTTATCAAGATAAGCACTATTTCTCATCATAACATCTCGACTTATTTTCTAGGATTGAGACGATGAGCTAAAACATCTATGATTCGGAAAATCATACTCTATTAGGTCTTTCCTTTGCCAAACCTATTTTTCTTTCTACTGTTCTAAATTGACTATATAGGTTAGGAACAAATTCATCATCTCTTGGAATAGTATCTTGGTGTCTCTAAAACTTGTTATTCCTTTTAAATAATCTTTGCAATAGAAGTTAATTTCTCTTGTTACCTTTATTTTATCATTATTCTTTTTGCCTCATCACACATCCATGTAATTATTCTAGTTTCTTCGGACATGTTCTGTAATATTTATATTTATATTTTTTATTTCTCATTTTCATTTTCATTTTTTTTTTTGAAATATAAGTGTTTGATAATTGTTTTTGTTTTTGTTTTCTCTTTTTTAGAATCTTCTCCAACCTTGTGTACAAATTTTGGAAATAACAATTTTGTGTATTTTAAAATCAAGTTTGGTTCTTGTTTCCACAACATAATGATTTTTAACTTATAAAATTCATAATAAACATAATTAAATAGTAAATATAACATTAAAATTTTGAATATTTAAGTGCACATTATACACAAATTAAACATGTTTTTCTCTTATGAATGAAGAAAAGTTTTGTTTTTCTTTGTTTTTACTCAAAATATAAATGGAGATGCAGAGATTCAGTTCATATAATTCATACCTTATATAAATTAATTATGTTGTATTATTAAGCTATCATTAATAAGTTTTTTTTTTTAAAAAAAAGCTATCATTAATAAGTTAATATAAAAGAACAAAGGATTTACATTATATACTTATTTTTATCTTCTTAGAAATAAAGAACTTGATTTTCACAAAATTTTCTACTAGTTCCCAACTTTTTTCACTATTAGAAAGAGATGTCGTGGCTCTCTCGATCTAGTTTGTCCTTATTTATTAGCCTACTCTCAATAATTCTTTTTTATTTTTTTATTTTTTTTTATGAGTACCTACTTCTCTTGAATTCCATTTAACTCAGCCTCCAACTAGGGATGGAGGTTTGTTGACTTGAAATTTCATTTATTTCAATTTCTAAAATATTAGATTACAAATAATAAAATGAGAATAATTCAAACCTAGTTACTCGTGTTTAAACTAATTGAATTAGGTTSTTGTTTCATTTTTTCAATGATAGAATTAAAAAAATAGTCACTGCAAATTTTGTTCCTACGGGATCCTATTTAGTAAATATCTTTGTTGTTATCGAGAAGTACTAAATATTTAATCTGACTAGTTATTTGTGATATCACAGATGAGAATAATCTAAACCTAGAAATTTAAAAGTTATCCATGTTTAAATCAATTGAGTTAGATTCTTGTTTCATTTTTAAAATGATAGAATTAAAGGAATAATGTTTGCAAATCTCGTTTCTATGTTTTTATTAATTTTAGAAATTACATATTACTTTTGAGTTTTGGGAGGTGATGTGAGTGAATATAATTAAATATAAACGACAGCAATAATACGAAATTATTGGTGAAAATTTTTAAATGGTTGTGTTCATTAATTAGGTGATTACTATTTTGGTGGGGGATGGTGTGAGAATCTGACACGTGGGAAAGAGTAGGTGGGTTCGATTCTGATTCTGATTCAAGGTACATTTTCCAAGTCGAAGGTTTTTAAAAAAATTGCAAAAATGGACCCTCAGAATTTTTCGGATGAAGGTCAAATCGTTTGAGATTCGGGGCCCCGAACTGACACAAAGCTGAAATATTTGTTGGTCTTGGGGTCACTTTTGTCATTTCGCTCATTTGCTTTTTTTTTTTTTTCTTTTTCCTTTTTCTTCGCCAAATATTTCTGTTTTGAGTTTTAACAAATATGTTATAATTTAGTCCATCTTATAACAATTCAACCTTTATAATTTATAAACATATTTGATATCTCGGTAGTAAACCGTTACGAATCATAATAACTAAATTGTTACCAATTTAAAAATATCGATATTAAATCGATACAAATTAAAATTGATGGATTAAATCATTCTTGGACTAAAAATACGGATAGACACAAGTATTTTTTAACCGACATGTTTATGTAAATGTTTTTTTACCATTTATATCACTCATCTGCTCCATCTTCTTTTTTTTTTTTCCGCTTAATCTATGTTATTTGCAAGTTGCAAGTTCAAACGTCGGGTGCCCCTAATTTATAAAACGAAAAGTAGGCATTATTATGAAGGAAGTGTGGTATGGGAATGGGAGAAAAAGAGGGAGAAAATCAAGTAAAATCTTGTGTCATCACTGAAGTGTGAACTGTTGGTGATTTTTTGAGGCCATCAATACACTGATCTGTAAAAAAAAAAAAAAAATAGAAAAAGGTACACACTCCACGCGGTTCACAGTGTTTGTCCTGAGATTTCGAGTTTTTAGTTGGGAAAATTGACATGTTTTCCGTTTGTGGTGTGAAGCCAATTAGAGAAGGCATTGCAGAGCAGAGCAGAGCGCAGGAATCATACAGTTTCAGGGCAGAGATTTTGTTTTGTTGGGCTGAGAGATTATAGAGATTAGAACAAAGAAAAAGGAAATTGATTGAAAAAGATAGCGAAAGGACGTTGCGTTAAAGTTGAAGTTTTATGACCTCACCCACACTCATCACTCTCCAATCACCTTCTTAACTCGAGTAAGTCTGAGTACCTCAATATTTAAGTTAGATTGGGTCGGAGTAGGTTTTGTGTATGGAGGGTAATTTCGACAATCCACCAATTGCAAACGGCCAATTTAGATGAAAAAAGACAGCCTCTACATCCGTATGGGCCTTACATTTTGGACTTCTCATAATCTATCAGATTGTCAAGGCCCATCATTACTTGATTAGATGAAACGAGTGAGCCCAGTTTAACAAGTCCATCATCATAACTTTACGCGGGCCCATCAAATGTTCAGAATTTTGACAGGTGAAGAACACATTTTTTTTCTTTCCTTTTTCGTCAAACTTCTAAAAAATGATAAAGAATACTTCAAGGTTGCTTGTCAATAGGAACTATTAGTACACATATACATATATTTCAGCACTTGAAAAATGTAGATTTGATACACTGCGTCAGGAAGATTCTAAACTATGAGTGTGCTACTTTATTTTGTCCCACTTTTCACTTTCATCAACTATTTTACGATACGTGGGAGTTAATGGTAATAACAATCAATACGCAAAATTGCGATTTAAATGAAAGAACATAATTAAAAGTTTCGTAAAGCTCGGAATTAAATCTACACCATCGTTACAGCTTGTTGAGACCTTTCATAAAAATACTCTTTTAGAAACACTTCACAACCACACACTAAAATAATTATTTGGTTCTCGTAGAAATGGTGGCCAATGAAGTTTCATTAGTTGAATCTTTCAAATCAACCACAATTTATCAGATAGAAGTAAAACATCTCATACTCCTAAAAAGTGTGCCAAAAGAAAAAGCATCTTAAGACAATGATATAGGTAAGAATTCACATCCAACCTGTGAAAAGAAATATAGTCTTTTCGATTATTATATTTTATATTTAAAAATATGATATTACGAAGCGCGAATTCAAACATTCAATTTCTATATGGAAAGTACTATATTCAAGTCTTACTTCTAAATTAAAACTATATTTCATAAAGACTTAATTTATAAGATTATAACAAGCTGCAATAATCTAAATTCCATAGCATAAATATATAATATATTCATTTTTTATAGTGTAAAGTTCAATTATTCAAATATATGTTTGTTTTGTACTTTCAACTTGGATCTTTTTAGTCCTTAATACTTTTAAAATGTTTGTTTTTGTCACTGTACTTTTAAAAATTAACTATTTTTTGTCATTTCATTTTATTTTTCCTATCACAATTTCAACACCACACTACAATCAATATATTCGTTAAAATGTAAACATTACTTTATACTAATGTAAAATTTGTATCAAAATATTGCAAAGATAGACTAAAATAATAACTTTTTAAAGGTACTAAGACCAAAATTAGCATTTTCAAAGTACATGACTAAAATGAACCAAAGTTAAAAATATAGGCACCAAAACGAACATTTTCGAAATACATGGACTAAAATGAACTAACACTAAAATTACAGAGATCAAAATCATATTTTAACCTAAATATCTTGGAGAAGAAATTACTAGAATGCCATAACAAATTAAATCATTTAAATCAATTATCTTTTGTAGATCGAGAGTTGAGTCCGCCACCGTCCAATGAGTCATACAAATTATATACCTTTTAGGTACATAATTATTTAACAACTTCTTAATTCCGTGAATTAATATTTTAGACAGGAATAAAGAAATCTACAAAAACAAATAATGAGATGACACGTGTACTTTAACAAATCTAGACAATTCAGATCACACAATATTTATACAATTTTTTAATGGTGCAATTTAAAGAGAAGATTTGGAGGAATATCCATCAAAATCTTGGAATTTAAATCAAGTCCACGTGTCCGGTAAAGAATGGTATTGATGCAAAAAGCAGCCTCAGGAAAAGTGCCACGTGGCTGGTTTGACTAAAATTAATGCGGATATATTCTGGCTGACTTGGTGGCGATCCCTTTCCGCTTTGTCTGCCTGTCTGTTCAATCTATCATGAAAGATTAGCATCACATTAAAAGAATAAAATTATATTATTATTATTATTATTATTATAATATTATTTCATGAACTTTTTCTTTTGACAAAATAATCCCAGTTTTAATTTTTAATGCATGGAATCTAATGTTTCTAAACCTTTCCTACTATATTTTCATTTTTCATGTGTAAAGTTTCGAATATTTTCATTTAATATAAAAGATAACTTCAGTAACCACAATTTTTTTATTAAATTATTTAACAAAAGCTCACTCAAAATCGCACTTCTAACATGTTGTTCAATTTTGAAAAGAGATCAATACAAAATAAATATAAAAATCAATAGATGACTAATAGGATTTTATTTATTATTAAAAAAAAAACATTACATCAAGGTTCGCAATGAAAAAAAGAGAAATCAAATTTTCGATGTATGGAAAAGAATATAAATGTCTAATCAAGGCTCGAGTTAAACATATTACTTAGTGAAAAAAACATTCCATCAATGATATGAACTAAAATAAAATAACACCAAAGGGAAAAAGGATAATAAGAAAAATGTGGTAATGTATATTCGGTAGTATACTAAAGGACGAAAAAACATGTTGGGAGTGAAATTACAATTTATTGATTGAGACTTGACGTAAATAAAAATAAAAGGAGAAAATGTGGAAGAAAAAGATAGGGAGTGGCGGCGGTCCAAAGTGTCAATTCGTACAAGAATTTTTGTTTTTGAAGTGAAGACGTGTCGAGTTTTGAGAGGGTTTATTCGGTTCAACTAGTTTTCAGGCCCATCCAAAATCTTCCACGCTTCTATTCCATTCCCTTTTTCTTTTTTTCCTAAGGTTCGTTTTTATTATTTCCACTCAATTTCTTACTCCCTGAATCATATGAATATGATATTATGACTTTGAGCAATGTATATGTATTTATTCTTTTCTCTTCAACATGTATAGTAAAAGACGAAAAATAAGATCTTCAGCTTTCTAAAAAATATAGATGTGTTATTCAAAGAATTTTACAAAATGAAAGTTCAGTATCGTAAATATGAAAAATTTATATATTCGTCAACCATACATCCAGATGAATGTATACCTTCACACTTTTTGGACTTTAGCTTTGGGATGGATGGATTGTTTTGAGATGCAATGGTTGACCATCTCAATTATAAAAGTTGGGAATTAAAAATGAGATACATGGTTTGTCTTTTTTAATTTTAGACGAAAATTAGAAAAAGAAAAGAAAATAAAAGGAAGTCTTTTTTTCGTTATATATCACATGGATTGTAGATTTGTTGTAGTGGGATTGGATGTTACTTGCAGAAGATCATGATGTGAGAGAGAGGACCGATGACCTCCAATGGCGGCTAAAAGTTATTTATATATATTATGAAAAATCTTAAAATTTGAATCAATCTATGTCCATTCAAATCTTTCGTATTATTTATGTACATTCATTTCTTTTAGAAATATTCCTGAGCTACCTAATGATAGAAGAGATGATGATATATATATATATATATTCTAACTTTAATAGTGAAACGCTAGTTAGGTCAAAAAAGTATTTTTTTTTTCAAAATGAAGAAAAACGAGTGTATATATATAAAATCTATCATACTATTAAACAATAATTAAAATTAATTATTTTCTTAGAGAAAAGCTTGAATATAAGTTGCGTATATTTTTTATTTCTTGATTTTACCATAATACTTTTATAGATAAAGTGATGATTCAAATATACGATTTTCAAGGAGATACTCATACTTAGTTTGATAATAACATTTATTTATTTGAGCATATATGCCTGATGGAACTTTTCTTTGCCTATATAATTGACTTTAGAATGTTTACTATTTATAGTAAAATGCAGATTCGGATCAAGTTAGTTTTTACACGTAATAATTCCCATTCCAAAAACGTAATTAGTTGGAAAAAAAAAGCATATATTATGGCAAAGAGAGAGTGAAGCACATTAAAAGTTGAATTCCCCATTTGCCAAAGATATTGTATTTTAAAAGTGGGAGAGAACAAAAAGTTTATATTCTTTTTCACTCTTCTCAACATCTCACATACGTGTTCGATTCTAACGTTAAGGAGTAACATTAACTTTCATTTTCTTAACTTTTGGCTGATCATAAGAATAATAAATCTGTTGCGATACCAACTCACCAACATCGCACAACTCTTTCTGATCCATAGCTTAATTAAAGCTAATTAATGCCCTATCTTACGTGTTTTTAATTATTTACCTTTTTTCTTCTATGGAGATTTTTATTGGCAGAGAATATAGCATATATTTGTTTCTGCTGAACAACCAAAAAAATCAATACCTTGGGAAAGATAATTACAAAAACTGTTTTAGGGGTTCACGTTTAACCAAATTATGATTATTTATATTTCATACTAATTAAGTGAAAATTTTGGTTAACAATAACTTTTTATATGGTAAATTACTCACAATTCACTCCTATATATCATATGACATATTCAATGGTTGATAGTCATAGTTAGTTCGTTGTCTCAAGGAACATAAAAATTTGAAAGAGTGATATAGATCAATCGCTAACTAAGTATTGGTCAACTGGCTAAGAGTACATGTAACTTCGTTATTAAAGATCATGAGTTCGAATCTCTAACTTTCTTAATTAAATGATTCATTGGTAATATTGTGTTAGGATAAAAAGGTTCTTTAAATTCATTTTTTTTATTTATAATCTTTTGGTCGAGACATATACCTTAAACAAATTGAATTATGCTGGCTCATATATTTTCATTTAATGATATGATAATGTTGATTTTGCCTTTAATCTTGCTGGGTAGACATTATCTTAAAAATATTCTCACCTCCACCTCAAAGTGACTTGGATAATGTTTTGCATTTCCCAATAAGAAGAAAACTATCACATAACACAACCCACTATTAACAAATATTTACAATGTTCCATTCCACTAAATAC